GAAATCAACAATAATCTTCTATGCATGCAAGAACTCATAGTAAATAGTGACCAATATATTCCTACGATATTTTACAACAAACAGAGAAAACCATTTCTGATAATGAAGCTTAAGGCTTTAAAGAAGCAACATATGGCAATCAGTAACACAGTACAAAAGTTAAATATGACCTTCAGTGTGCAACTCCTTGCTACGATAACCATAATTTTTTGTCATATGAATATTGAATTGTATTCCAGTCTATTACATTGGCATGATGGATTGGTCATTAAATTGGATAAACAAATTGGTAAGATGATCTTAAATTCAATGACGTATTACATTATAAAAATCACATTTATTATGTGGGTCTGCGAGACCGGCAAGAATCAGGCTCAAGAAATCCGCACTACGATTCACGACGTACTTAACAGCACCAGAGATGAGCAAATCAAACATGAGGTAACAAAAAGATGGAACGTATTTGTGTATTTTTTTATAAGATGTATGCTGATACAATTTTTATACATTAAATCTACTCAAGTATATTACGTCAATCCAGTTTTTAACAATTTGATTTAACATTACAGTTGCAGTTGTTTTCCTTACAAACAATGCACTGCAAAAATACATTTTCCGCTAAAGGTTTCAATATGGATGCAACGTTTCTTACTACAGTGAGTAATAGAGCGTTTGCTTTTATTAATAAAATGTTTCTCTTTATTTTTTTCATCTTCGTTTTAGATGACGGGTACCACTACTACGTATATGTTAATTTTGCTACAATTCTTTATTACGTCACATTCTTGCGATGAAAAATCTGTAATCAATATTACATAAATAATGCAATTTCATTAAAAAGAAGGTGAAAGAAAAAAATTTCGTGTATATACATACATGTATATATGTATATATTATAAATAAAAATTTTCGTTGCGTGTACATATACGCATGCGTGCGCGTGTTAATAATAATGAATGTTAACATTAATAATTAATATTAATTAATTATGCAATGGCTGTTGAAAGACAAATTTCGAAACTGCATACACAGAAGCTTCCGCAATCATCTCCATACTGATGATAAAGTAAATTGATAATATGATAAATATTTTTTAAACTGTGTATATTTAAATTATGGTTTTCATGTAAAATTTGATTAATTATATTCATTGTAATTAGTTTTTGTTTATAAATACTTGTTAATTTCAGCTAAAGAAATGTATCAATTTGTTCAAATCTAATAATTAAATTCTAATCAAGATAATGTATTTGCCATTACATTATCATATAACTCAATTCATTGGCATTACATTATCTTCTTATCTCTCATTAGCAACATCAGTGTTTCTCAAAATACGCGCAGCACAATTTAGTAGTACGCTAGAATGTACAATATTATTAAAAATTTGAGAACATCTAATTATCTATTTTTGTTATATTTTAACATATTTAAATAGATAACATCATTTTGTAAATATAATTATTCTAAAATAAATAAAAAAACTAATATTATTAATCAAATTAAACAAATATATTAAAAGCATATTTCTTTATTAAAACTTACAGTAACATACACACATAGACACACACGCGCGTGCGCGCGCATATACGCTAGTATATGCTGAAACGTTTAAAACTTAAATCTCGTAATCCTATCTAAAAGAAAACATATTAAATCAATACTCTAATTATCGAAAATCTCAACGTTTATTATTCGCTCTTTTCTGCGACGCTAATATTGGTTCTTTCGCTGTGCTTACTTTGCGAGCAACTGTCATTGAATGTATATTTTGACAGTTGTGCGTATCGAAAGATTAATAGTGTAATATAATGTAATTACATGCATTATGAGTGTAAACGTTGTTATAGTAAGAAGTAAAGAAAAAGTTAAATAGCGCGCGTTTGTGATGTCTAGTCGTGGTAAATAGAATAAATGTTTCTCAAACATCTTATATGCACAATAAAAATGTGCAGAATCAACAAGATAGCCGAATCAACAAGTTGTTATTAACCAATTTTTAAGGTTCACTAATTTATTTAGATATTTTGTAGTGGATGTAACTTATTTTGAATAATTATATTTAATGTATCATTAGCACATTATAGCAACTATTATATTAAACATTGCATTTTCCAGATGATAGATCGAAGAGCGCCATGGTTACTTCATGATACATTAACATACAATTATGTAATGCCTTAGTCATCGCAGTAAATGCTCTAGTATTAAACTAGAACTTGTCTGGTGTAGATAGAAAGAAGGAATTTACTTCGGTTAACACTTTATGAAAACATAAATTTATGGACAAAACTTAAAAAAAAATCGAATCTCGCAATCACACTCGCGTTGATAATTGAAGTGTGTTAATAACGTGATTAATAATTTTTAGACTGATATTTAATTATGTAATTTAGATTATTGTTCATCCAAATATGACATTTTGCTAATCATATTCAGTTCGTTACTGAAATTTCACGAAATCGTGTCAAAGGCAAAATGCGAAAAAAATGGTGGTTTTTTCACGCTACGGATTTTCAAACTTTGATGTATCCTTGTTTCACAATTTGCCGCATTCTTGGAATATTCCCATACAAGATTAACAATTCAATCTTCGAGACTTCAAAACCACGTTATATTTTATCAATCGCAATTACATGTGCTCTATGCGTTTGGGAACTGATAGTCTTATATAAGTACAATATTTTTACAAAGATTAACTTTGTAAATATAACAAGGTCTGTTGAGAATATCTGCTTTGTTTTATTAATCAGTTCTTTAGCAATAGCCACCGTCGTTTTAAGCAGTCCACGAATGCATTTGCTTCAAACTATAATGAAGATCTCTTCGAGACTGTCTCCGGAGTCATATAAAAAGTTATCCAAATTAATCCATGCCAAAGACACTTTCGGTTTCTTCTATCTTATCGGCCTACTTTCTACATATTGCTACAAGACGCGTATCAATATCGCGGAAACAATTTTTTCGATATATGCAGTTCTATTGATATTTCAGACAAATATGCTCTATACGGACTGTGTTTGTGTGCTAAAAGCTTGTTTCAAGGAAATTAACAACAATCTT